GATCTATTAGGTCCCTTCCGACCCTTAATCTATGAAACTATAAAACTGTAAGAAGGATTGCTTATTGAAGGCATCACTATACATTTATACAGTTTGATTTCCCTTGCATTAACTTTCTTTCCTATTCTTTTCACTTCTCCTCCACCCTCACAACCTTTTAATATACACACTTCTTCCAAGCCATTTCCCCTTTATCATTGTACAACATGTAATAACTGTTCTCTCTATTTCCTCCCAACCATGTTGCTTTTCAAGTTCCACTGCTCCTTCTTCCTATCCTCCACACACACTTCTACATTTGGATGCTGGCAGAGATTTTTTTACCATCAACAGTGTCATCCACAAAAAAAGTAATGTTTGTAGATAGACTGGTGTCCCTGCTGCTACCTTCTAAGTATTGCTTGGTGTAGATTATTTCCTTGTAATTAGTTTGTAGGGTATGTAGTACCCTAATTAGTTTGTAGGGTAGGCTTTTTTAATAGGTCTCTTAATAGTCACTGAGTAAAAGAAAGCATCTAAATCCATCTAACTTTTCACTCTAAACAGAAGCCATAGTCAAGATTTATTGGGCTGGATTCTGTTCTTTGAAAACAGAGCAAATTGATTTCCATACACAAGTCTTCAACAAAATCAAATATTTGCCTGATTAAAGTGACAACCCATAGCATTTTTGGTATGCTGAAAAAGTTCCTGGGACATCATGCCAATATGCTGCTAAAGCCAGGACATCACTCTTTAGAAACTTTATAATAAGCTGAATTAACTACTACGGCCTGAAACTTACTCACTGAATCTCAACACTGAATGCCAACACAAAAATAACCGCTGCAAGAAACGCAAGTTCATAGGTATAGAATAATTTTTCAAGGGTCCCCTAGCACGAGGGCTTTGCCTACCTGCACTATACTTATTTCCTTTTTCTGATCGATAAATGACTATTAGGACTCTGTTAGTGACACATTTCCCAGCCTCACACCTACAGAATTCTGAAGGCACAGTCCTGTCTATTCAGGTTGACTACCTGCATATGAATACTGGACATGCAGGCACAAATACTGAATATTAGGATATGCATAAGAATATTACGATATGTAGCCACAGATATTGCACACTTGTAAACATGCTGTACCAAAACAAACTCCAAACCGGTAGTGACATTCCTCTATTGGAAGTGGTCAGCACCTGTAAGAGTATGAACATACATCACAAAATGAAGCAGACTGGCTGTGGCACGATGTGTCCAATGTGCTTCATTGGGCAAAACATGTTGCCCATTGTCCCACATCAGGCGGGGGCCCAATCCTGCAGAACAACAGATGACACGTTCCATACTTAGAGATGCACCTTGAAGAGTCCCCTGGGGCACTTCTCTACAAAAGAGAAAAGCCAGGGTTCCCCACTTGCAGAGACATGCCCTGTGCAATCTCTGGAGTATGCCTCCACAAATGTGGACAGGGAACATCCTGGACAATTTCCAAGGTGCATCTTTATAAGCAGGGAAAGCCAGGCTGGTGCTCCTGGGGCTTGAGGGGGCTGATCCTGTATAGGAAATCCTGGGAGGTGTCTGGAGAGCGTGAGCAGCTCTGGACTGACCACACTTTCCCACCATAAACTTAACACACATCTGCTGCAACAGAGTAACACAAATTGATACCACCTATGAAGTGGCCACAATTTTGGGGTATTTGTGGCATGACAAGGGGTACGAACATTTATTTTGACTGAAGCACAAATGCAGCATCTGTTCTACCCTAAGTTCCACAATGGAGTCTGTAAGACAGACAGAAGTTTTCCTAGACAGTATGCTTTTTCACCAAATAAAAACTGAACACTTCTAAGATCCAGGTGCCTGCAGCCTCCTGCTGTCATGGATATCATCAAACCTCTATAATATACTGCCTTTCCTTTTCACCTGATGGCAATGTGTTACTTCAAATTTAAAACTTCTTGCCGTCTCTTCCTGATGCTGCTTCACTTGACAAAATTTAAAGGGAATACTTTGATAGAATTTTCCTGAAGCAATTCTGTAATCCAGTCAGGCTGCCAATGATTCATGCACTCTGGGTAACACAGGTCATTGGCGTAAGAGGTTACTTAGTCTCTCCTTCCAATAAGGCAGGAGTTTCTGAGGCAAGGACTGGTACAAACTGAGAATTTACTGCTGCTTGTTATTGAGAAATGGAGTGTTCAACTCCTGTGTATACTAAGCACCCCTGAAACCAGATCAGAATATGTAAGCTGAATTCAAGACATCCCCCTGTGGGATGACGATACTCGTGGAACAAAAAATTAGTGACTTCAGCCCCTTTGTATTGTTTGATACAATACTGTCATCTTTTCTCCAAAAGGTTCACTGTTGCATGACATGCTTATCATTTGTACAGTCAGGCAGGTAGCCAAGCTTGTCAGCAGCACAAGCATCAACTGCACCTAGTTTCCTTGTGCTGTTATACAGTATGCAAAGTGAAATACAGGTGAAATCTGAGAAAATGCAGTATTTAAGATTTATGCAGTCATAGATATGCAAACATCACCTTAATTTTAGAGATTAGGGAATAGAGAGCCCAAGAAAGATTAAGTCCCTCACCTAGATAATGCTGTGGCTAATGGAGTAGCAGTCAAGACAGTTTCTAACGCACTGATATGCTGCCTGACTGGCCCCCTTCACGTGGTATCAGGACACAACCGTAGCAGATCAGCTCCACGTAATGGATCCAATGCATGGGGCTAGTCTGCAGGCCTAATTTGGCCCATGGACTGGACTTGTGCCACTCATCTGGTGCACAGGGCCAGATGAGTTTGACACCTCTGCACTAAACAACAGCAGAAAAAACACCTCTGGGTTGCCTGACTAGCCAGATACATTAAAATGTCACCTGAACTGAGTCAACTGTTACAACATACTTAAAAATGGCCACTAAAATAGTACAGGGTCAGTGATAGGAAACATAATAGCTGCATTCATTTAAACAGAAGTTCAAGCTTCAGAAACCCCCAACAGCAGTAAGTTAATTTGCCCATATGTTCACAAAGCCATTCCAAGCTTTCAGATCTGTATCTCATTAACTGTTTATAAACATTTCTCATTCAGGCATATTTGCTAGCAAAACTAAGTAGTTAAGATGGTTAGTTTGACAAGTATTTTGGCCAACATTTTAATTAAAGTTTGATTAAAGTATAAATAGATAATTATTTATAGAACAGTGCGTAATGTTAATTTTGTTGTTCCGAGTAGCAGACATTCCTCTCATGTGAGATTAGAATAAGATCTAAAAGTTAACAATCCCTCTTCTCTCTCCAACAAACAATGCTAATCACATACATCACAGAATAAGTAACAAATATCCAAGCTCAACTAAGTCACGATAAATCTGCTAAGGTCTCATTTCATTCAAGGTATGCTTTTTCAGAGTATGGCAAAATTAAATGTCATAAATTATCCAAAAATCAACTGTAGTTTGAGAACAGGTACTCACCACTTCTTCCAATGCAGCACTTCTCCCAAAAGAACAGGTCAGGTGTGTGAGGCAGTTAACAAATGAAGAAAAAAGTTCACTTGGAATGGCAGTTAAAATATTGCGAGGAAACACGGTTATCAGATTGCTGATAATACTAGAAATTCCCACTGCTTCAGAGTCCTCTATTTCAATTCTATAAAAGGAAACAGCAGTTACCTCTTTTATCATTCAGAAATACCACCAAGAAGCTGGAATATTTTATTGATGGATTTTCTGCATTGAATAAGCTAAGAGAGACTTTTATATGTGCTTTATATTCTTCTTTCTGCATTTTAATAATACAACTCCAAACACACAAGGCAAAAAGCTTTTCTGGCTCTCCCCGCTCACCACTTCACTCCTCTCCAGAGCAAAGATTAAAAGAAGATGCCACCTAAATTTAAAGGGCAAGCATACATACCCATTGATAGTATTCAATAATCCCTCAATGAAGTGTGCCAGGTAATCAACTTGTGAGCCTTCATCAGGAAAGACTGGCCCATGTAGAGAGGCTAGCTGTGCTAGGCACTGTAGTGAGTCTTGTGCCATATCTGTATCTTCTCTGATTTTTCGATGTACCTTTCAGGGAGTGAGACAGTTAATACATGGAAAAATAGGGTGTTCTTACAACAGTCACATGGCTCTCTGAAAGAGCATACACCAAAAAAAGCTTACTATAATTTCCATTCAATCTGAAATAAGGTGGCATATGCAGCTCTCTAAACCACAGCAAGTTTCAATATTGCTGCTCAGATTACTAATTCCATGAGCCAGGAATTAACCCACTAAAACTAAAGGTTTAACAGAGTCCTACCTACATTTTGAAAATTGAACTGTCTTCAACACATTATGTCTTAAAGAGAGAAACAGATGCCAGCCAGCCAGACATGCTGCTCCTTCTAAAAACAGCAATAATGACAGTCATTTGTATTATGCTAACTATGCCTAGGCTATAGCGTCTTGCTAAAGTTAGTTGACAAGTTCAATCAAGATAGTATGGATGCTTCTTTAGCAGAGGTAAACACTGAAGACAAAAAACAAGCACCATCTGACCCTTGGCAACACCTTTATATTTACCTAAGACTACTAGTAAAATCTTTCCCCATTTCTGTGAGCTAAGTAGTACATCATTACTTGTATAGTTACACAAGTATTTTAGAGGAAAAAGTCAAATATTATTTCAATAAAATGCATTTTAAAATAAATGTTAACTATTTATTGTGGACTTTACATTTTTTTGAGTAAGCATTTTGTTTCTTCATATAAGGGTAATAAAAGTAAGTATAGTTTAAAGAACATCTTTAGAGTCCTTTCAGTAAAATTGTGCTTTCGATGAAAGCAAAGTTAAATCTCCAACTGCATTTCAAATTTCATCCCGTTGAAAAGTTATATAGCTATTCTGAACCTCTAAGTTACACAGATGCACAGGTTACAAAATATTTAAATAGTTGAGAAAACCATACCACATTAAAATATCTGGGGGGGGGGGGGGGAAACAAACCCAAATC